TATTTTTAAACCCACAGACACAAAACTTAACTGCAAAAAGGCTATTGAACAGTTCAGATACAAAATATAATTAACTAGTTAAAAACTAGGTGTTTGAACCCAGCATATACAACCACTGATTGTAAAAAACAGCATTTGCAAAATTAGACATTTGATTCAAGGTGCTTGTGACAACTTCCTGTGTGACAACAAGCCCCCATCATTTGTATTTTGAGATGCTTCATTCAAACATCAGCTGTGTGAGAACTGCTGAGAATAAACAAAGGACTCATAACAACATATCTTTAAGGCATTTTCAGCATCACTGTTTGAGATGCTCACACAAATCTCTTATTAGATTATTTACAAGCCTTGTAAACTAGTTCAGACTCACCTCACAAATCAGGTATGTATTGGGAAACTAGTCAGTAAAAGAAAGAGGAAATGCCATTAACAACTTGATTGGCCTGAATATTTTGTTTTCTTCACCTAATGTTTAACAAAGTAATAACTGCAAAAATGAATACAAGTTCATAGATTTTTATCAACTTTCTTAAAGAGACACAACATCTTATGGAAAGCTGTATCCGCCAGGGAATAACATTTTTTTTTTTTTTTTTTTTAAAGGTAATTGCGACTTTTTTCCTCACAATTCTGAGAAATTTCTCTATAAACACAGAACTGTGAGATATAAAATCAGAATTCTACATTTTTCTCAGATTCAGAGTTTATATCTCGCAATTCTGACTTTTTATTCATGTAACATCCACATAGTTTCCAATGACAATATAGTTTATATAGAATACAATTTTAATTGAGAGTCGCTATCAAATTTAGTATTTCATAATAAAGGTATATTTACATTTAAGTACATATGATGAACATGAGTATGAACAGGAGTATAATGAAACACCACAACACTTCTAATGCAAAAATGAAAATGTACACACATACTGTAATACCTGAGGACATTTCTGTTGATAACGATATGATGGTGATTTATGCTTCTCTTTTAACCGCTTTTGAAATGAAACTTTGGAAACAAACTCTCACTGTCCATTTCCAAAGGAATTTCACTTTACTGCTCATAATAAAAGGGAACTATGCAAAAGAGGAACAAAAATCTGCATGTTTATCCCGTTATAGGTCAGAACTATTGTTTAATTATTCTTTCACATTGCCTGGAAATCATACATAGTATATGACTTCTAGTTACTTTTTTACATCACAGTGTGTGAGGCTTCATTCATAGCAATTTACGAATGTAAATCTGCTGAAACACAGTATGAACACTGTGCCTTCATAATGAAGACATAAATCATCATCATTTAAATGTGATCATCAGGATTTACTCTGTAACTTCCCTTGAAACATACATTAATAACTTTTCTGACAGTTATGGGGTTCATACTTGTGTTTAAACCATTGAAATAAAGTTTCAGAAAGGCAATCTCCTTCACAATCACACATTTGTTTTTCCTATCACTGAGCTGCATTGTTTTTATACTGAGCTAAATATATTGTCTATCCCCTACCCTTAAAGGGTTAGTTCACCCAAAAATGAAAATTCTGTCATTAATTACTCACCCTTGTGTTTTTCGAAACCCGTAAGACCAGCCGCGCACAAATGACGTCACTGTGTGTCGACTGTCTTACGTACACTGTCCGTGCGAATGCAACCCTTTAAATGGTACTGGGAAATAGTTCGCGCAAAATCGTCCCAGTACTTTAGTACTGTACATGACGTGCGTTCACAACAGTACCATGACGCGAGCGTATGGTGGCGCTGACCCAGATCCAGCGTCATGATACTGTCGTGAACGCAAATCCACAAGTGATGCAGTAGAGACGAAAATGTGGAATAAAGTCATTATTTTTGTTTTCTTTGCGCAAAAAAAGTATTCTCGTAGCGTCATAACTTTACAGTTGAACCACTGATGTCACATGGACTACTTTGTCGATCATCTTGTTACTTTTCTGGACCTTGAACGTGGTAGTTACCTTGCTGTCTACGGGAGGGTCAGAGAGCCCTCAGATTTCATCAAAAATATCTTAAATTGTGTTCCGAAGATGAACGAAGGTCTTACGGGTTTTGAACAACACAAGGGTGAGTAGCCTAATTAATGACAGAATTTTCACTTGTGGGTGAACTAACCCTTTCTGTACTCATACATTTCCAGTAAGACATTATTTAGTGTGTTTTTAAACAATGTAGATTAATTTTTTGCAGTTTTAGAAACTTTTACATAATAAAAATAAACAAATTATATATATGGCTGCTTTATAACGCATTAATTCAAATGGCCTTTTATGCCTGTTTTTCACGTTTCGCTATATTAGTGTGGTACATTTTCTAAACTTAAGCCCATCCATGCATACATAAATCTGCGCACAGACAGAGCAGGATGGTCTCATTGTGGTGGAGCTGCACGCGCGCGTTGAGGACTCGAGCAGTGGGAGGAGGAACTTCAGCTCGCTCATTTATTGAACGTTTCTTCACATTAGTGCGCACTCGAGTTCGACACACATGCTGGGAACGAGACACACACGCCAGAGCTCTCGAACACACTGCGATCTGAGCGCTCGCTCAGCCGGATCATTTTCCAAATTCGAATGTAACAGCAGCGGCGGGATGCGACATTATCTCCGTCTGTCGGCGCTTTGAGCAACGCGCATCACGCAGGATGGAGAGGAAACTTTGCTGAACTTAAAGCCGTTTTTTTTATTTGCTTTGCTTCAGATGTGGTGAGTGCATCGTTTACTCACTGATATTGTCTTGTTGTGTGTTGTATTTGACAATTACCAACAGGTAATATTTCCTGTCTTTATAATGCACTGCATGTATCCTTCATACTATGAGTTATGTTGTTAGAAAATCTATTAAAAACAGGAAAGTGCAGAAGGACGTGTTTGTTAACATTTTGGGGATGTTGAAAGGAGGGTTGAAGGTGCAGATATTTAAATACATTCTTTAAAATAAAGTTTAATTTAGGATCACAATAGTGTTATAGTGGTAGCCTATGTCATGGGAGAACCTTTTTATTTTTTCCCTTCCTTGTGCATTAAATGAAACCTAAACACTGATCTGAAGAACCAATAAAGAAACATCACTATTTTTAGAGCCATATAGAAATTCAGGAACCCTATAACCCTCTTTTTAAAGGAGTGCAGATAAAGGCTAGATCTAGTACTGAATGCAGTGCATTGAGTATTTCTGTTTTATTTAAGAAAAACAGATACTTGCATTATTCATATTATTGATTGTATTCTTATTTTATATTTATTTATTGCAGAACACTTTAATCAAACAATGTAAAAAATGCCTAAGTTTAATCATGCTATAGTTTGAATTGAATAGAAGATTCTAGTTGAGATGATTCAGTTCATACTCTTAAAAATGAAGACGAGGATCTTGAATAGTTACTAACTTCAGAAACATCTGCTATATCAAGAACTATATTTGGCTCTGTATAGTAAAATATATTTAATAGATAGATGAATATTATAGATTCTTCAGATTCTGTTTTTTTTTTTTTTTTGGTTTCT